TCAAATTTGACATGAATGGATTCCTCAATTACCATTGTTCGTTTGTTTAGAACTCTGAATGCTTTGCTTACTGAAGAGTATCCCATGAATAGTCCTTCATCAGCTCTTTCATCAAAAGCCCTTAGATGATTCTTTCCATTGTTGTGTATGAAGCACCTGCAACCAAAGACATGAAAATAACCAATACTAGGAGTTTTACCTTTCCATAACTCATACGGTGTCTTGCTGTGAGATTTGTTGATCAAGGATCTATTTTGTGTATAACATGTCGTGTTTATGGTTTCGGCCCAAAACCTCTTAGGTAATCCTGAGTGCGAGATCATCGTTCGTGCAGCTTCTTTCAAGGTTCTGTTTCTCCTTTCGGCCACGCCGTTTTGCTGAGGGGTTCGTGCTGCCGAGAGTTGATGAAAAATTCCATTTTGCGCACAGAATTCCTTTATGACTTTGTTGACAAATTCCGTTCCCTGATCTGATCTTATTCGAATTATTTTGACCTCCTTTTCTGTTTGGAGTTGTCTCAAAAGATTTTGAAGAGCTGTTTCTGTTTCGTTCTTCTTCTTCAAGAAAAGCACCCATGTATATCTTGTGTAGTCATCTACTATAACAAGAGTGTACTTTCTTCCACTCAAACTTGCTGGTTCTACTGGTCCAAAGAGATCCATATGTAAAAGACTTAAAGAACGAGAGTTTGCATCCACATCTTTTGACTTAAAAGATGACTTGAGTTGCTTCCCTTTTTGACATGCCTCACATATTTTATCTTTCGTGTAAGATACTTCGGGTAGTCCTCTCACAAGATTTCTTTTGGCAAGCTTGTTTATCGTCTTCAAATTCAGATGACTTAGTTTGTTGTGCCATTCTTGATTGAGATCTGCATTACTTTTGGCCACAAGACAAACATTAGCATTAGAAGAATTTAAGGATATTACGTACATGTTCTTCTTTCGTTGACCCGTCAAGGCTGTCTTGCCATCCTTCGTGTTCACAATTTTGCATTCGTTTTTGAAGAATTCTACTTTGTATCCTTTGTCACAAAATTGACTTGTGCTTAGGAGATTGAACTTCAGTCCTTCAACATAAGAGACATCTTGTATTGTTATTCCCTTTTTGATGATGTCCCCTTTTCCACGAGTTTTGCCGCTGTTTTCTCCTCCAAAGATAACTTTGGGTCCATCTACTTCTATAAAGTTGCTCAATATTGTTTTATCACCAGTCATATGTCTTGAGCATCCACTATCAACATACCATATGACCTGTTTTTCCTGCATCAAAGATTATGTGTTTTTAGGTACCCATTGAGTTTCGGGTCCTTGGGGGTTAGCAGTCAACTTTGGAACCCACATCAACCTAGAGTATCCATGACTCATCCTTGGTCCTCTATATCCATTAGATGTACGATAATCATAATGGATGCTGGCAAAGACTTTAGCATTATATTTCTTACGTTGATCTTCCTGAGTAGGATTCTCATAATGCTTGAGATGATTAGTTTGTTTACGCAGATGAACCTTTTTCAAATACTGCTCTAGGGAGAGGTTCTGGGTAATCAAACCAATCTTCTTCTGATGGCCCAGTCCATCCATTGCCATACCCAGATCTTTTGAAGGATCTTTCGGGTTGTCTGATTTGTCCGTTCTTTGAGATTCCTTGAGCAGGATTCTTTCGTGTGAATTTCGGACGATATTGCCTCTGGTTAACATTCGTCTTTTTCTTGGATTGAGTATTCCTGTTAGGCTGACCTTTTTTATGGTTTAGATCTTGTATATTGCCATTTGGTCCATTCCTTTTGACATAAATTTGTCTAGGGTTGCCTTTAACAGATTTCTCCTTTCCAGATTCCACAACACGTTGTACAGCCATTCCTTTCGGTTGGCTTGTTGTTTGTGGTGTTTTGACATTGTTAACTACCATCATAGGCTCAAACATCTGGGTAGGTCCTTGAACAAATGCAGCCTCGAAGCTTTCGTGTGAATATGCATTCGTGGATTTGTTCAATTTGACTTGTGAAGAGGAGCTGGGGTTAAAACCAATTCCAGTTCTTTCCCCGGGCAGTCTAGATTCATTTATCATTCTATCCATTAGATTGGATGAATTATTGAATTTATTCAAGACTTCAAGCAGTTCTTGCTCTCTCTTTTCTTTTGCTGTGCATTGCTCCTTTAGAGCGAGAACATCTTTCTCAAACTGCTCCTTAGGAATGACCAGCATATTGTTCTCAACACGAACTTGCTTTAGTTCATTATAGCTAGTCATGAGCCGAGAGTTCTCCTCTTTAAGTTTGGAGTAAGTGTTATTTATCACCTTGAACCTCCTCATCATTTCGGTGACAGATTCATTGGAGGTATGACTTCCCACAAAACTTGACTCAGCTGAATAACAAGAAGATATATGAATGAGAGTTCACCTCATCTTCATCTGCCGTGAGCCACAGTTCGTCTGACTCTTGACTAAATAGGCACAGCAGTCCTTTCTCCTCATCAGTGTTTTCGTCTTCTAAGCTAGAGCTTGAGGAGCTACTTTCGGTTGCAACTGTGTCAGAAGTTTCGTCTACTACCATTGCCTTCCTTCTTCCTTCCTTTCTGGAGTTTGATGATTCAGGCTTGTCGCTCCTTTTATATCTTTCTCCAGTCTCTTTTGAGGGACTTGTGGTAGTGTTTTTATCTTGATGCTTGCTCACTATAGGATGAGGACAATTCGCCTTGAAGTGTCCTGGCTTTCGACAATTATAGCACAATAGCTGCGAGTTCATGGTTTCGGTTTTTGAGGTTTGAGGGAAGCTCTCATGCTTCTTTCGGTGGCCCGATCGTTGTGGATCTTGAAAGTTGTTCTTTCTCATGAACCTTTTCATTTTCTTGACAAATAGTGCATATTGTTCATCAGATAAAAAATCACAAGAGTTAGATTTCGACCTGTTGGATGTTGATGCTGATTGGTTTTCCACGAGAGCAATGTTTCTTGTTTCTGATTCTTCAGCATCTTTCGGTTCATGCTCGAACTCATATGCTTTGAGATCACTGAAAATCTTGGTTGTGCTTGTAGTTTTCATATCTCGGCTATCCCTCATTGCAATAACCTTCATTTCCCATGATTTTGGTAATCCACGAAGAATCTTCAGATTCATCTCCTTTTCAGTTGGCTCTTTCCCGAGATCTGACAGATCGCCCATAAGTCTGGTGAATCTGAGTTCCATCTCCATGATTGTTTCATTTGGCAGCATTTTGAAATCTTCAAATTTCTTCATGCCCATTGTCAGTTTGTTGTCTTTTTCTTGCTCGTCTCCTTCTCCCAAACTCATTAGGACATTCCACACTTCCATGGCATTCTTGCACTTTCGGACCCTGGGAAACAAGGAATCATCCAGAGAGTTGTAGAGAATATTTCTTGCCACATTATCCAAATTTGCCCTTGTTCTCTCGTTCGTGGAATACTGGTCTTTCGGCTTTGGTATCATCTGTGCAGCTCCTGCTCCTTGTGCGGCTGCTTGTGCATTCGCCATCATGACCGTAATTGGTCCGGTTGTTATGACGTCCCACATTTCATCATGAATAGAGCATAGGAGAGACTGCATTCTTAACTTCCAGTCATCAAATTTGGCAAGACTAAAGGCAAGTTGCTTAGAGCGATGTGCATGTTCCTTTTCCATTTTTAGATAAAAAACGTGCAAAGAAAATATGCAAGATTTTCAAGAGATTTTTGATAGGGGATCTACCAGGCAGTAAATGCAAAGCCTTTACCGAACAAGGTATTGGCTCTGATACCACTTGTTGGTCCCGATAGAATGTAACGAGAGTCTAGAGGGGGGGTGAATAGACTCTTTTCGTGAAATGCCCTTAACGTCACCTTTCAGTGTTTTGGCGCAGCGGAAAAGTCAAATTCGTTTTAATAGCTTTGCACGAGTTTATGAGATTAGAGAAACTTTCGGTAACGGTGATGATTAGAATGATGCAAATGCAGAAATAAAAAGCGTAAGTAAAGGAATAGAAGGAACACGAGATTTTATAGTGGTTCGGCCAAACGTTGCCTACTCCACTCTTCTTCCACAACTTATGGAAAGATTGCACTATCACTCCTTAGCACAATTACACAAAGACTTCCTTGATCACTAAGCCGGACAGCCTTCGTTGGTTTTTCAACTTCACAAGTTTACTCCGCCTCTATCAACTTCTTCTCCTGAGTTGAGGTTGGTAGAAAATGATTTCTTGATTTCTCCAACAATGAAGTCTTGACTGAGAGATGATTGCTTCGAACAGATTGCAAGACTTCTTTTGAGGTGTAAGAAAAATGATCAAAGACCTTCTTCAAGTAACTTAACACCTCAATACTGGTTCACAAAAGCTTTTGGAAATTTGAGAGCGTTCAAGAGCTTTTGCAAGTAAATGAGTCGAGTGATAATGAACCAGCACCTTCTTAGTTGATGAAGGTGGGTTTTTATAGGTGATGAAAATTCATCCGTTGGAGGGAGATGAAATTTTCGAACCTTTTAACCAGTGGACAAGGACCGGGGAGCTTCATGCATTAAATGCTCCATTAATGAGGTTGTACCATGTAGCCGTTGAAGGTATGGAATGCATAGGGTTTTGTCCTTTAGCTCTAAGAGATGGTACATCTTCATTTAATGCTTCTTGAAAAGTGTGTCCCATAAGATGAAGTCCTTATTGTCCTAGGATGTTGTCAAATCAGACAGGTAGAACATTCTTCTCGTTGTTGAAGAGAAGTAATGCTTGATAAGGATCGTCTTTTAACAAAACTGTCCTTTCGTGCTTGTTGACAACTCCTGCTTGACTCTCGTTGTTGTTCTTCATGTCTCGTGTCTTCTTTCGCCTTGGAGACCCTAACATCTAGTCATAACTCATTTTCGTGTGTTTGTCTAGCTTAACACGAATTACAGCGGAGTTATGGCAACTCTCGTCTAGGACGAAAGCAGCGATTGAAAAAGCTAAAAGTTAGGGGTCTACTTTTCTACATTACATTGGTATCATCAAAATCCTAATACAAAGTTCCTAACAAATTGTACATGAATAAAGTCTTGATATACCAATGTCTCCAACATGAGCAGTTAAATCTTTGTCAAGCAGCATGTTACTTGGCTTTAGATCACAATGAATAACCGTCGGCTCACAATCATCATGGAGATAATGCAATGCACAAGCTACATCAATTGCAATGTTTAATCTTTGAAGAACACTTAGAACGGTTGTCTGGGCATTAGATGAATGTGTATGCAACCACATATCCAAATCCCCATTTTCCATGAACTCATAAACCAAAGCTCTGAATTCATTTCCTGCAAAATCACAACTCGAGCAGCAAGTCAAAATTGGAACAAGATTTCGGTGGCGTATGTTTCTCAACACTTTACATTTTTCAAGAAAGCTCTTTGAAGCTCCATTTTTTGAAAGGTCAAGTACCTTCACCGCAATTGTTTGTTCTCCTCCACCTTGCTCCAATCTACCTTTGTAAACAGTGCCAAAACTTCCCGATCCGATCAAATTAGTCTCAGAGAAACCATTAGTAGCTTGGTGCAAGTCTCCGTAAGGGATTTTGGAAAGCTTTTCAACATTGGATGTCTTAGCTGACTCCATCCTTTTTTCATTCCTCCAACACAATGTTAGAAAAGCAATGAATGATGCAAACACCAGAGCCGAGCAAATACATGTGAAGATAACAATCATAATCTTTAAATGCTTTATATGTTTGGTTTTCTTCACGGGACATAGAGGCAGCTTTAGCTCAGGTATACCACCGCATAGCTTTTTGTTTCCAAGCAATGATACATTGGTTGCCACTGTAAACACTCCAACTTTTGGTACCTCACCCTCTAGATCATTGAAAGAAAGGTTCAAATATTGCAAGAGAGGGAGCTTTTGGAGGTCTCTTGGTATCTCTCCAGTCAACTTATTATTTGAGATATCCAAATGTGTAATGTTTTTTAAGGAAACCAAAGAAGGTGGGACTTTACCTTCAAAGAGATTGTCATGCATATCAAGATATTCAAGGCTCAAACAATCTCCAATTGTATCTGGAATTTCGCCCAACAATTTGTTTTGAGAGATGTCTAAGACATTTAGTGTTTTCAATTTGCCCACGGCGGGAGATAACGGACCAGTGAATGAATTACGGGAAAGGTAAAGGTACTTAGACAAAGATGGCAAAGTAAAAACTTGTTGAGGAATGGTGCCATCTAGTTTGTTATTATTGGACAAGGAACATTCATTCAAATTCCAGAAGTTTTCCACATTTGGTGGTATATTGCCATCAAAATTGTTGTTATGCAAACGAATTGCAGCTATGGAAGTGAGGTTAAAAAGAGTTAGTGGCATTTTATCGGACAATTGGTTTACTTCAAGATTCAAATATTGTAGGTTATGCAATTCACCTATCTCACTAGGAATAACATCTGATAATAGATTGTCTCGTATACCGAAACCAATCAAGCTAACTAGATTTTTCATTCCTCCAGGTATTGTACCAAATATCTTATTCCCTCCTAGATATAGGTATTGGAGTTTGGATGAGAGGTTAGCTATGGTGTTTGGGAATTTACCTTTAAATCTATTTTTTTCAATGTCAAGAAAACAAAGTCTGTTTTGGTTAAACAGGAGAAGAATTAAGGTTCTGTTTTGTGCTTAAATGATGGACAAGTAGCATTGAATATTGGTGAATTTTATTTTGATGTATTTTGTAAGTTGTTTTTGATAATATGTACTCCTAAGTACATATTATATGTGATTGGTGATGGTAATTTTGGACATTATGCACTTTTTATAAGTGCTTGGATTTGATGGTTTTATAAAATGTTTTTTCTATGTTTTATACTAGGGTTTCTCTATTTCCTAACTGATTGCAGGTATGAACAGGCAGAGATCAGGTAGCAAACACAACAAACAGAGCTACAAGAAACTTAATAGCAGCAGATTTAGTTAAAGTAGTTACCTATGATAGAGAGTACCTGAAATGGCAGTAGCTACTTTGTTCACAATTGTATTACTTAAAATAGCATTTTCCATATCAGCAACCAAGTATATCTCTTTCACTTTTATAGTAACCGTAATCTTTCATTACACCTGAAATTAAAGAATTTGTACTTTCATCAACTCCATTATATATTTTAATCCAACAAAACATCTTACAAAATGGTCATTTGGTACCTTAGTCCATTTTTATTTTCTTCAATATCACCTGTTGAAAGTGTAATAGGATATTATGTGTCCTAAGTATTTCCAGACCAAGTTTGTCAACTTCTGAATTTAGCTTCAAAATCTTTTCATGAGATTCTAAAATAGTAAAGGACTTTATAATAAAGGCTATACAAAGTCAGTCAACATTTTAAGTCTAACCAAACCAAGAATATCATACAAATTTGAGTCAAATTCTAACATAGTTCTGTAATGGCTTAATCAGATAACAACATGAAGTAGTTTAATTCTCATAACTGGAAATCCTACTTCTCAATAAATAATTCAAACAAGGTACTTCAATAAAGAACTACAACTAAAATTGAAATCAAAGTTATAGTTATAAAAAGTTATAAAAAGTATATGACCATAAAGATGCCAACGAAATCATTTTGGCCATTTTAAAGACGATTAAATGTAAAGATGAAAGAATAAATTCAAAACACTGTAAAGAATGGTATGCTCTTAAACAAAATTCCTATAAAAAACTTTGAAATACATAGTAATTGTTCTCCACCCGTGGTTTAGGGACTAAAAATGAACTATTCTGATCGATATTACTTTCAGTAAAATCATTAGCCATTTTGTGCTATCTTCCTGATTTTTGGAATCCAATTCCTGAAAGCTCCAGATATAATACAGAGGTTACATAAATAGAAAACTAGAAATGGAAGTTGATTATGGTGGGGGCAAGATTCTGAAATCTTTCACGTTTGGTTAGTCGTGTAACTGAGTGCACCAAACCAAACCTCATATGGTCTCTGACAGTAATGAATTTCAAGAGATCACCTAATTTTAAACTCCTGGATTTAGGACTAATCCTCTCCCAGTGCAAATTTAATTTAATGTAGCTTGAAACTCTGAAATTTAATGGCATCAGAAATGAATATCATCATGTGCCATTTCCTTGAAAAAAAAAATGTTAGAATCTGAGTAAACCAAAAAAAAAAAAAATGAACTCTTATCAAAAAAAAAAAAGAATAAATCAAATAAAATGAGATACAAAAAGAGGAGTAGTTCTATAATAATACAATTTTTACACAAAATACACATCTACTGATGTGTGATTATTGACATCAAAACTAAATTTCATCATCTTTGTTCTTTTGCTGGAAAAAAACATGTTAGTTTTGAAATCCTTATGGCAGGAAAAATACTGTGAATAAATACTATCTTTTCAATCTGTTCCTTTTATGCTTCCCAATAGAAGTAATCATTACTAAATTCCAGCAAATTTCTAGGGAATTTAATTTTACTTTTAAGTTTTACACTCACAGATTCACATTTAAAGGCAGAGTACAAAATTGCTATTCAACTGAACTCACTACTTACAGCAAAACACTTTCCAAACATTAAGTAGTTGAAATCAATGAGGAAGTTAACTAAATCAACTGTCATCGGCTCCAAAAAGAAGGAGACAATTTCAAATAAAAGTACTTTAAACATTGATCCAAACCTCTATTACTACCATAGTATTTGTCTGCCAGAAGTTTACTTCTCCTCTTGATATTGATTTTTTCTGATCTTGCAAACATCTTCTTCTGTATTTACAAACTGTTAAGTTCAAATTAAAAAACAGATTTCAAGTCTGTTTGAATCAGTATAAGCATACGAATTATCTAATTTAAAAACTCATATTTCTTGGTAATTTTAAGAAAGCTAAACATAAGAAACCTTAAGTAATAAGAATCAAGTTCAACAGATAACCCTAAGTTGCTAAAGTACTGCATTAAAACCCTAATTATACAGACATACAGTTTAGGATACCTAATTCGAATTGAATACCAATTTACATCTAGATTTTTTTGGGAAAACTATTAAAGATTAACTAAAATTGAGTAACAAAATAACTTACTTTCATCCGATTGTAAATGATGTGAGATCCATGACAAGAAACCAGCTAGATCTAAACACGATTGGAAAATAGCACTGCACTGCTGTCGTACATCCATAGCTCTAGAATGCAGATCGACGTTCATCTAGGTTGCACCCGTAGAAACAAGCAAGCATTTCACTAGCGATGGCTTTATAAAAATAGGATTTGAAACCTGAAACAAATTTAGGGTTTCCCTAAATTCGTCCTCTTCTATCTCTCTCTCGCAGTCAATCACAATATAGACTGCGATCTACCCAAGAATGAGTTGATTAGAGAAGGACGATGGCAAATTCAACCGGCATCACTGCCTAAACCATGTGCAGTACAGAGAGAGATAGAAAGAGATAGAAATCGTAGGGAGAAGATGTAGCGTAGACAGATAGAGAGATGATCGGATTGTGTCCAGAAGCCTAACTTCTGGACACTTCCATCCATTTTTTTTTTGTTATAAATAGTTCAATATATATATATATATATATATATATATATATATATATATATATATATATATATATATATATATATATATACTATTTTATATGGTTAATATGCTTATATTATACATATGCTTATTTATATAGTACAATATTCAACTTTGTCAAATAAATAGTATGTATGGTGTTTATTGTATTTAAATTATGGGTGTTACATATATATGATTTTTTTTGGGTAAATTAGTTTAATGTAATAATTGAATTAATATTATCTACATCAATAATTATATTAGTAATTCATTATTTTATTGCTTATAATTTCTTTATTGCTTTTATGACAGAAAATGATTGTACGGAAAATGGAACATTCAACACACCGAAACTAACTGCGATGGCTGGTAATTCCTTTCATTCTAATTGCAATGTCGGTACTATGGTAGAGTAAATTTTATTTATTGTATTTATATTATAAAAATAATTGTAAACTTTGGGTTTTTTTCTTACAATCAACAATTAAATATATTAATGTGAGTTTTTTGCAAATCATTCTTTTATTAGAGTGTTCAATTGCAGTACAATCGGCAAGTGATAGATCTCAGCTTACATGCGTTAATTCAACATCTCAAAATAAGAGGCGTTTTATTGGCGGACAGCGTATTGGTCTTTCTAATCAAACTTTCAACGTTAACAATGGTATGATAAATTATATATCTATATATATTTACTATATTTGGAATTTTAGTTTGGGTATTATAATAAATTTCTTTCTTTTAATTTTGCTAATAGTTTCCCAAAATAATATTCAATCAATGACATCCCGATCTACCATTTTGGAAAGTACACCTATGGCGTCCAATGAAAGTCGAGGGCCTTTAGCCAATTTAACAAATGGTAATTTTCGCAAAGAAGTTAATTATTTTTTAAAATACGAATTTATATAAATTTTTTAAAATGAATAATAACATTTGTTTTCATCTTATAGTTCAAACACCACAATCGTGCGTTGTGGATTACAATAGCTCATCACCAAATATGTCAATGCAACGTGGTTTGATGGCAGCTTTTGATAGTGTGGTCCATGATACTCCCTCAAACTCTACAAATTATACTGGTGGGTATAGGTACGATTAATAAGCTTGATTATTTGAGTTTAATAATAACATTTTTCTTTTTCTAGATTATTACAGTGATATTGGTGATCAAATATACTCATGCCAGCACTGTGGAGCTATGTTTTGGTTAGATGAGCGAGTTAATAAATCTAGCGGTGTTCGAAATCCCAAATATTCACTATGTTGCAGTCATGGAAAGATCAAGTTGTCGCCTACAAATATTCCACCTCTGGCAATTAGGCAGTTGTTCTTTAACCAAGATCAAAAGAGTACCCATTTCTTGAAGAACATTCGGTCCTTTAACAATATGTTTTGCTTTACTTCCATGGGTGGAAAAATTGACAGAACGATCAACAATGGGAGTGCACCACCAACATATAGGTTACATGGTCAAAATTTTCACTTAATGGGTAGTTTGCTACCACAATCTGGCGAAAGACCAAAGTTTGCTTAATTATATATTTATGATACTCAAAATGAGATCAACAATCGTCTAAGTTATGTACATTTTTATAATTTCTTTAAATGAGCATCATTTTTTACTATAAAATAAAGTATAAAATTTTATGGTTTTGTATAATTAAAACAGGGAAGATGATTCAACCACTACATTGCATCGTGAAATTGTTAAAGACATTAAGGATGCACTAGATGAAAATAATGTTTTGGTCAAGATTTTTAGGATGGCCAAAACACAGATGGAAAGTAATCATAGAGCAGATATTAAAATCAAACTCATCGGTAAGAGGAATAAAGATGCAAGGACATATAACTTGCCACAGGTTGGAGAGGTGGCGGCATTGATTGTTGGTAATTTAGATCCAAACATGGGGGAAAGAGATATATTGGTCGAATCTAAAGCTGGTCATTTTCAAAGAATAACTAAATTAAATCCAGCATATCTCCCACTTCAATACCCACTGCTCTTTCCTTATGGTGAAGACGGTTACAGAGACGATATACAGTTTAGTAATGTCGAAGGTCGGAGTTCAAATGCAAGGAGTAAACTTAGTCCAACGAAGTATTTTTCATTCCGTTTGCAAGATAGGTTCAATGAAATCTCAACATTGCTTTATGCTAGAAGGTTGTTTCAACAATATTTGGTTGATGCTTATACCAATTTAGAATCGGGACGCTTGGTTTATATTAGGACTCATCAAAAGTCACTTCGGTGTGAATCATACAAATGTTTGACAGATGCGTTAACACGTGGTGAAGTAGATCCTACGGCCCAAGGAAAGCGCATCATTTTGCCATCGAGTTTTACCGGAGGTGCAAGATATATGGTGCAAAATTACCAAGATGCAATGGCGATTTGTAGATAGATTGGGTATCCAAGTCTATTTATTACATTCACATGTAATCCTAAGTGGCCTGAGATTGAAAGGTTTTTACAAAAGGAAACTCAAAGCTAAAGATAGGCCAGATATAATATGTCGTGTGTTTAAAATCAAATTAAATGCACTCATAAAAGAGATTCAGAAAGAGAACATTTTTGGAGTGGTAGATGCAGGTAATTTGTTTGATTTTCTAAATAATTTTGTTTGATAGATATCTTAACAATAATTGTCACTTTTTTTTTGTCTAATTTCACTATGTTTGAATTTGCAGTAATTTACACGATTGAATTTCAAAAAAGGGGATTGCCACATGCACACATTTTGATATTCTTGAGCAAGAGTAACTCTTATCCTAATCAAAAGATATTGACATGATCATATCTGCTAAGATTCCAATTCAATTGTGCGACCCTGAGTATTATAAAGATGTGGAAGAATTTATGCTTCACGGTCCATGTGGTGCAGCGAGGAAGAATTCACCTTGCATGGTAAATGGTAAGTGCTCTAAATTCTTCCCAAAAAAATTGTTGAAAACTCAACAGTGGATTACGATGGATATCCGATATATCAGCGTCGAGATAATGGTCGTACAATACGGAAAAATGGGATTGACCTTGATAGTAGATATGGTGTTCCACACAATAGACATTTGCTGATGAAGTACAAGGCTCATATTAATGTGGAGTGGTGCAACCAATCTAGATCAATAAAGTACTTATTCAAGTACGTCAACAAGGGTAATGATAGGGTCACAGCTGAATTTTACAACAGTGGGGTGGAAGAATCTACTGGAAAGATTATAGATGAAATCAAGATGTACTATGACTGTAGATATATTTCACCCTCTGAGGCCGCGTGGAGGATTTTTGCGTTTGACATACAATTTAGGAATCCATTTGTTGAGCGATTGAGTTTCCATCTTCCCAATGAGCATTCAATAATATTTCATGACGACGATTTGGTCAATGATGTTGTAAATCGAACGACAGTAGCTCAAAGCATGTTTACTGCCTGGTTTGAGGCTAATAAAAAGTACGCAGAAGGGAGACAGTTGACTTATTCACAAATGCCAACTAAATTTGTTTGGAAGAATGATAAAAGAGAATGACAACCTAGGCAAATGAATTGGGCAATTGGTCGAATCATTTATGTGCCCCCAAATACTGGTGAAATCTTTTATCTTAGATGTTTACTTAATATAGTTCGTGGACCGACTTCATTTGATGAGATTAAAAAAGTGGATGGTGTTCAATACAATTCATTTAGAGATGCATGTTATGCCCGCGGATTAATCGAAGATGATAAAGAGTATGTTGATGCAATCAATGAGGCAACAGTTTAGTCTTCAGCACATTCGCTACGGATATTGTTCGTTACACTTTTGACCTCCAATTCAATGTCTAAGCCAGAAAATGTGTGGGAGCTGGTTTGGATACTTATCAGATGATGCTGAATTTATTTCTAGAAGGAACCTCTCAATTTAAGGTAATAATTACTTATATATATATATATATATATATATATATATATATATATATATATATATATATATCCATTTTTATAAGTATCATATCTTACCGAATTTTTATTCCTAATTTTGTAGATTTAAGTCTCAATGAATCTCAAAAAAAAAAAAAAAAAAAAAAAAAAAAAAGAATTATGCGTTGCTTGAAATAGAGAAGTTGTTGAATGCTCGGAACAAATCTCTATCAGATTATCCACCTATGCCGATGCCACAGATGAAAACAATGATTTGTTTTTTGGTAACAGGTTGTTGTTCGAGGAAATGTCATATGATAGGGAAGCTCTAATGCATCAACATAATTCTTTGCATCCGAAACTAACTGATTAACAGTTACTCATCTACAATAAGGTGATGACAGATGTTGAAACGGAGAAAGGTGGAATGTATTTCGTTTATGGTTGTGGTGGAACAGGAAAAACCTTTTTGTTGAAGACAATGCAATTTCAGCAGCTTTACAGTCCAAAGGTGAAGTCGTTCTAAATGTAGCATCAAGCGGTATAGCTTCATTGCTGCTACCTGGTGGAAGGACTGCACACTCCAGGTTTGCTATACCAATTGCTGTTACTGAAGATTCCACTTGCAACATTAAGCAAGGCAGTCCACTTGCTGAATTGATAATCAAATCCAAACTAATAATTTGTGATGAAGCTCCGATGATGCACAAACATTGATTTGAAGCATTGGATCGAACAATGAGAGATTTAATGCGTTTCAAAAATTCTAGGAGCTCAACAATGACATTTGGAGGGAAAACAGTTGTTTTGGGGGGAGACTTTAGACAAATTCTACCCGTTATTCCAAAAGGTACTGACAAGATATAGTACAAGCCAGTATTAATTCATCTTACTTGTGGAATAATTGTGAAGTTCTTTGTTTAACGAAGAATTTAAGATTGCGAGGTGTTAGTAATGAAGAGGATGTTGAGAAGTTAGATAGTTTTGCCAAGTGGATTGCAGATTTAGGTGATGGTAAACTTGGTGAAGACAATGGTGTTGATTGCAATATAATGATACCGTCTTCAATTGTATTAGAAAATGAGGCCGATCCCATTAGACAAACATTCCCTGAATACCGTTCTGGAAACATGGATGAAAGACAACTCGAGAGTAGAGCTATTCTAGCTCCAACATTAGATGTTGTTGACAAGGTCAACGAATACATGAACGGTTTGAATCAAGTTGCATCCATGACATACTTGAGTTGTGATTTTGTTTGCAAGGCGGAGACAAATTTTGATATGCAATCTCAGGTCCACACAACAGAATTTTTAAATAGTTTGAGACTTTGAGGTGCTCAGGTGTACCAAACCACTCTTTAACTTTGAAAGCTGGAACTCCAGTTATGCTGTTGAGAAATATAGATCACTCATTGGGATTGTGCAATGGTACAAGGTTAATAGTAACACAGTTGGGAAATCATGTTATTGAGGCAAAAATCATATCTGGCAATAACGCAGGTACAAAGGTGTTGATACCAAGGTTATCTTTGACTCCTTCAGACCCAAGACTTCCATTCAAATTTCAAAGAAAGCAGTTCCCACTTATGTTATCATATGCAATGACAATCAACAAAAGTCAAGGTCAAACGCTTTCACATGTTGGTTTGTTACTGAAAAAACTTGTTTTTAATCATGGCCAATTATATGTAGCAGTTTCTAGGGTGAGTAATCCTGATGGTCATAAGGTCTTGATTTGTGGGGAGTCTAGAGGTGTTTTAAACAAGACTCAAAATGTAGTTTATAAAGAAATCTTTAATAATTTGTAATTGTTTTCTTTATTTAACCCCAATAAATTATATTTTGTGTATTTGTTACGTCTATAGCCTTATTGATAATATATCATGAATAAAACAATTTCTTATATATTTCATCATAATAACATGGCCGTGCATCGCACGGGTGCAACTACTAGTTTAAATTACTACAATTGGACAGAGATGTTATAAAAGCCAAGTCATTTAAGGGATCATTGCTAACAAGAAGATTGTATGCAAGGTTCAAAATTTGAAGATCTTTTAACCTTCCAATATTGTCTGGAACTTTACCTACAAGATAGTTGTTTGATACCTCAAGAATTTGAAGCTTAGAGGCGTTGGGAAATGAAATTGGGATGGTTCCATGGAAATCATTGGCACCAAAATAAAAGTCTTCCAAGTTTGGCATGGTGTCTCCTATGTAGCTTGGAATGGTCCCTTCAAGTAAGTTTTCGGATATTGAAAAAGTTTGTAATGAAGTGATATTGAAGAAAGAAGGAGATATAGTGTACCAGTGAATTTGTTGATACAAAGTGAAAGGAAATTTAAATCCCAACACCGCGTAATCTCATGCAGAATACGTCCCTTCAAATGATTCTCCTGCAAGCCCAACTTTCGAAGTGATGACAAATTCCCAATAGTGGGAGGAATTCCACTTGTCAATCTGTTATTATCCAGAGATAGTACTTGTAGCTTCTTCAAATTAGGTAGGAATTGGAATGCAGTAGGGAGGTTCCCCTGGAGGCCATTTTCATAAAAATAGATTTCCCTAAGGTGCACGCAGCTGCTGAGATTAAGCTTAGCCAGATCTCCCGTCAGTGCATTCTGATGAAGATGGCTACACAAGATCACAAGGGCCATTGAGTAATTTGATCTCTTTCAATTCTGTTATTCTGTTATAACTGCTTCTTCACTGCTTTGTACTGTTCCATTCCTTTTTCCCTCCTTAGTTTAAATACTTGGCTGCTTCATATTGTACACATATAATATCATCACAAACTGAATAATGAAAGCTAAGCTCATCTCTCTTCTTCCACTCAAGTATCTCAAGCTTAATCCATCAATGAAGCTATAATCTACTGTTTCCTACATGGTATCAGAGCGACGTTTCAGCTACGCAGCAGTTGTAGGCATGGATCGAGAAGGCACAGGAGGAAACCCTACTGGAAACGGAGGAGAAACCTCAGCCACAGCAAGTTGTATCCATGTGAATTTGCCTCCAGTAAATCGGATGGATGAGTTTGATGATCCAATGTTTCTACACATAACTGAGAATCCGAACATGACACTTGTTTCACCCCCCCTTTCTGAGCATAATTATGCTACTTGGAGCAGATCCATGAAGATTGCTCTAGGAGTGAAGAACAAGCTAGGCTTTGTGACTGGTGCAGTTCCAGTTCCAGAGAGATCCGATCCCAAATACTCAGCCTGGAAAAGGTGCAATGACATTGTTTGCGCCTGGATACTCAAGTCTCTCAATTCCACTATAGCATAAAGTGTCCTATACTTTGAAGTTGCAAAGGACATCTGGAATGCTTTGGAGAAGAGGTATTCGCAGGCAGATCCTCACAAGATAGCAGAAATTCAGAATGATATATACAGGAATGTGCAAGGTAACAAATCTATTAATGAGTACTTTACTAGATGCAATGCTCTTTGGGAACTACTGAATGCTGTAAGGCCTTTACCTGTCTGTGAGTGTGTGCCT